TCCAGAGGGGATGAATTTTCAACAATAGTTGTCTGACATTCAGACTAAAGTAACATTTTGTGTCAGTATGTAACAGTAGTTTCCCTGACATGAGGCTGCTGTTTGCGATTGTGAATCAGAAGAAACACCTTTTGGGGAGTGTGCTTTCATTTGTTCTTTGTATGTTTATATTTTTCAGTTACTTGGAAAAGTGCAACCCCAAGATGCAACCCAGCAACACATTTGCAGCATCAGTAAAATGCTGCAGGCACTTGGTTTTGAGGAGCCGGAGCCTGAAAATGCAGATCTTCAGGAGCTGGAGGCTGAAAACGCCTGGCTAAAAGCGGTGGAGGTAGAAAACACCCAGCTGAAGGCTGAAAAGGCTTGTATGGAGGAGCTAGGGCCTGAAAACCCCTTACTGAAGATACTAGAAGCCAAACATGCTGCCACCATGAAAAATATTCCCTGGGGAGAGAAGAGGAAGACGGTGGTCGAGCAGATGGAGTATTCTGCTTCACTTCTGAAGTCCAAAGACAACCCGACCAGCTTAGTTCAGCTCGTGAGGTCTGCAAAAGCCAGAGTGAAGGAGCTGGAGAATGAGCTCAGAAACTGCAGCTTTAAAGTGCAAGAGGAAGAAATCATCTTCCTGAATGTAAATCTGGAGCTTGAGCAGGCTAAGAACAAGAAGATCCAACACGAGTGGAAAACTAAATGTGAGGCTCTGCAGGCGAACTTGGAGGACTGCATCCTTGAAAATGAGGCCAGGTCCCGGAAAATAGAGGAGCTGCAAAAACAACTGAGAGACGCAGATGAGAGGTGGTCCATCAAGCATGAGGAGATGCTCCAAAAGGAAATCAAGCTGAAGGACATGATAAAACTCATGATCCAGCAGAGCATTGAGTGGGAGGTACGTTACAGAACAGCTCATTCTGATTTGAATAATATTGGATTGTTGAGTTGTTTCAGATTCAGTCTTTGAAAAAGAACAGAGTGAAACTTATGCTGTCTCTGTCTTGTCAGGAACAGATCTTGAAGACCGATAGCTTCAAGGAGAGGGCCAAGAAGGAGAAGAAAGAAAGGGAGAAGAGAGAGGAGAGCAAGGAGACAACAAGCAGGTGGTTCCACAATTTTGTCTCCAAATACTTCAACTTGTTATCTCCACTACCATTCTTCCTCTACCTCTGACCCGTCAATCATCCCCTCATCCCAACTCCACCCACTCCCTTACATCTTAACCCCTCCCCCTCATTCCCCTCTTCCCTCCCCTCCTCACCCTCCATCCACATGTATTTGTTAGAAAATGAATGGATGTTTACAAAAACACTTTATTTACATATTTTACTTGTTACACGTTTTTTAAATGAAGTGCTCATGTAAACAGAATAATTAAAAATACATCAATCAGTTAAAAAGTGTGGAACAGACAGCTGGTCATCAGTTACAGTGCAGACAATGTTTTTAAAACACCAGCATT